CAGAGGACTGCAGAATGTTACATGACGTGGAGAAACTCCAGAAATGAGCAAACAGGTGGTTGCTAGAGTTCAGTCCCAATACGTGTCAGGTAGTGAGGATTGGGAAAGTGAGACAGAGAAGGTGCCTACCCTATAGACGGGAACACAACTACAGGAATCGGAGGAAGAATGAGGTTAGAGAGTTGATATGTCACTAACACATAGACCTAATCATCATATTGATCCCACAGGCGAACATTTGAACAGCGTTTAACAACCTGAATCAGGACTCTTTCAAGGCAATCTACACAGCTTTTGTTACGTCAACACTGGAATACGCGTCACCAGCCTGGAATCCACGCCTTGTGAAGCATACATATACAATCTTAAATATAATAGTTGCAGAGCTGAGAGGGTTAAGCTATAAGGACTGGCTAAAGGAACCACACCTCTCAACCCTGAAGGACAGAAGGGAACAGAGGAAACATGATCACAACATACAAGATACTGAGGAGAAAGCTATAAGGCAACTTGTTATGCTATAAGGCAACTTGTTAAGCTATAAGGCAACTTGTTATGCTATAAGACAACTTGTTAAGCTATAAGGCAACTTGTTAAGCTATAAGGCAACTTGTTAAGCTATAAGGCAACTTGTTAAGCTATAAGGCAACTTGTTATGCTATAAGGCAACTTGTTATGCTATAAGACAACTTGTTAAGCTATAAGGCAACTTGTTAAGCTATAAGGCAACTTGTTAAGCTATAAGGCAACTTGTTAAGCTATAAGGCAACTTGTTATGCTATAAGGCAACTTGTTAAGCTATAAGACAACTTGTTAAGCTATAAGGCAACTTGTTAAGCTATAAGGCAACTTGTTAAGCTATAAGACAACTTGTTAAGCTATAAGACAACTTGTTAAGCTATAAGACAACTTGTTAAGCAGGACAACTGTTAACTACCACCACCACTTGTTAAGCCAGGACACACCAACTACCACAACAACTCCCTAAGCAGGACACACCAACTACCACCACCACTCCCTCCAGGACACACCAACTACCACCACCACTCTCCAGGTCACACCAACTACCACCACCACTCCTTCCAGGACACACCAACTACCACCACCACTCCCTCCAGGACACACCAACTACCACCACCACTCCCTCCAGGACACACCAACTACCACCACCACTCTCCAGGGCACACCAACTACCACCATCACTCCCTCCAGGACACACCAACTACCACCACCACTCCCTCCAGGACACACCAACTACCACCACCACTCTCCAGGGCACACCAACTACCACCACCACTTCCTCCAGGGCACACCAACTACCACCACCACTCTCCAGGGCACACCAACTACCACCACCACTCTCCAGGGCACACCAACTACCACCATCACTCCCTCCAGGTCACACCAACTACCACCACCACTCTCCAGGGCACACCAACCACCACCACTACTCCCTCCAGGGCACACCAACCACCACCACCACTCCCTCCAGGTCACACCAACCACCACCACCACTCCCTCCAGGGCACACCAACTACCACCACTACTCTCCAGGGCACACCAACTACCACCACTACTCCCTCCAGGTCACACCAACTACCACCACTAATCCCTCCAGGTCACACCAACTACCACCACTACTCCCTCTAGGACACACCAACCACCACCACTCCCTCCAGGGCACACCAACCACCACCACCACTCCCTCCAGGACACACCAACTACCACCACCACTCTCCAGGACACACCAACTACCACCACCACTCCCTCCAGGACACACCAACTACCACCACCACTCTCCAGGACACACCAACTACCACCACCACTCTCCAGGACACACCAACTACCACCACCACTCCCTCCAGGACACACCAACTACCACCACCACTCTCCAGGGCACACCAACCACCACCACCACTCCCTCCAGGACACACCAACTACCACCACCACTCTCCAGGACACACCAACTACCACCACCACTCTCCAGGACACACCAACTACCACCACCACTCTCCAGGACACACCAACTACCACCACCACTCTCCAGGGCATACCAACTACCACCACCACTCTACAGGACACACCAACCACCACCACCACTCTCCAGGACAACACCAACTACCACCACCACTCCCTCCAGGACACACCAACTACCACCACCACTCTCCAGGACACACCAACTACCACCACCACTCTCCAGGACACACCAACTACCACCACCACTCTCCAGGACACACCAACTACCACCACCACTCTCCAGGACACACCAACTACCACCACCACTCTCCAGGACACACCAACTACCACCACCACTCTCCAGGACACACCAACTACCACCACCACTCTCCAGGACACACCAACTACCACCACCACTCTCCAGGACACACCAACTACCACCACCACTCTCCAGGACACACCAACTACCACCACCACTCTCCAGGACACACCAACTACCACCACCACTCTCCAGGACACACCAACTACCACCACCACTCTCCAGGACACACCAACTACCACCACCACTCCCTCCAGGACACACCAACTACCACCACCACTCCCTCCAGGGCACACCAACTACCACCACCACTCTCTGCAGCCCAGAACTAATGTTGCACAGACACCACAGCACAGCTCCCATCACTCACTGCAATAAACCACAAATAACTCTTCGTGGCACAGCACGAAAAACTTAGTAACACAACGCGAAAAACTTAGTAACACAGCGCGAATAAGCCTATGGGCCCATCACGCGCCAATTCAAGCCACAGGTCTAGTAAGCCTCTCGGTGCAGCTTGCCTAAACCCCGACGCCAACCGCTTGGTGTACAGTTTACAAGACGGCGCGAGTGTAAACTCAAGAGCCTAGGCAGTGTAATTGTAAAGATTCCTCCACCGGATGTAAACAGGGGTGGTTTAAAGAGGACCGGCCATGTACACCTGTTCTCCAAGGTCACCAGCGGGCTATAGTGTAACACACCGACTTAACCTTTTATTAAGGAACCAACAGGTGTTTCAACACGCTTCCGTCACTTAGAATCCGTGTTTGAGTCCACTTGTGTAAGCAAGCGATCATCCAATCAACATGTATATTTATCCTAGCAGATTGTACAATCTCCTCTATGTATAGTGAGATGCAAAATGACCCGCATTATCTCCCCTTATGTTTCTCTCACGCGTATATATACACTCACACATGCACTCGCGCGCACACACGCTCGCGCATGCAGGCACAAAAGAGTGCACCTGGTGTCTCGAGAGTGGCGAGTACACTGACCTCTATCAATGGTGGCTTACCACCGTCTCGCCCAACCACTCCCGCACCTTCAATTTTCTATCAAAAACCTCCCCACTGACACTTATATTGACAATTACACATGTTTTTAAATTTGATAATGGCACCCTTCGCACCTTAGACTAATCGCTGACACTTAACAACTTCCGGATACAATGTAATAAAGTAAAATTTGTATTACAACTCATGAAATTTTATAATGGATAAGAAAATTGTTGTGGCGAATCGTCCATTGCACAATTGCGATGTTCAATAACTCCCACAAACAAAAAAAGTTATCTGATGCCGTCTAAACTTCGAAATAAATTAAATACACAGCACACAGCCTGCTGTAAAGTGAACGAAGGGTTTACAAGACCAACACGCTGTATGTTGAACACTAACCAGATGGGTGTTCACAGTGACCAAAATGGGCAGTAATCAACAGATCATCAGTGCAACCACAGTGATCAGCCATCAAGCACACACACACACACACACACACGCACGCACACACGGACACACACACACACACACGCACGCACACACGGACACACACACACACACGCACGCACGCACACACGGACACACACACACACACACACGTACGCACACACGGACACACACACACACACACACACACACACACACACACACACACACACACACACACACACACACACACACACACACTCCAGCCCTCGCGTCATTATCCTGTTGCAGAGACATTAGTAACGAGGCTGCACCACAACGGCCAGAAACACGCCAAGGACACACACGCAACGTCACAATTCTCATAGAAATATCCCAAGCAACCACAACGTCACTCTTACGTCGTAATAACGTTTGTGGACTTGCTAGGACATATATAGGTAAACAGTATCCTTATTACTGCATCTCAGGGTTCACCGTCACATTATATTGCTTAAGAGTCTTAGATATCAACACTTGTCAATCATTAACCTTATTGTTCGCTATTTGAGCACATAACTTCAGGTGAATTTGTCGTGTTGTCAATGAGGAGGGTATAGTGACATGGTGTACTGATGGTACACAAAACCACGTTGGGTGACAAGCAGCCATCACTACCTCCCCAAAGTGGTGATAACAACCACAATCGCCCCACAGTAGTGACCACCACCATCACTAACTGATGCTGGTGCAAAACGAAAGCGCAGGACGGGTTAGGGAAGCACACGAGAAGCTCCACCGGGGAAAAAAATAAAAATAAAAACTTTTTCACCACCTGTCAAACGGTGTTGTGAGAAATGGGGCCCGCGGCTGCATGGGGTATGGGAGTGTTGACGATGGGGGTGATCGGTGATGGAGACGGGGGTAGAAGGGTATGCACAGAGGTATGTGTGGGGGCCGGCTGCTTGCTCCAAGGTTCACTCAAGGCCGTTGAAGGGCCCACGGTGTAGCGAGTGATGGTGGTGGAGGGCTAGGAAAGTAGGAAGTCAAGATCGGATAAGATGGTGAGTCCCCCTTGGGGGGTGTGTAGTGGTGATGACGGTAGCAGTGGTGTAAAGGCGGAGACAAGCCATCTTGAGCTATGTACCGGAGCTGGCAACATGCACGGTGAATACCTGCCAGCCCCCACTAGCATGGCGTCTGCCTTGCCAAATATGCTGCCCGCTCTGCGAGCATGCCAGCGATCACAGCTAGTACACACACACAAGTGGCAGAACGGGGCGGCGTGGGCCCCCTCTCGCCTCACACCTCTCACTTACATGTCCACAGCGAGGACCGGGGCTGAGGCGTGGCTGTGGGTAGGCATAGCTTGCGGGGTGTGGACGCGGGCAGTGCGGATTTGCGGGTGAGCTGCGTCCTCACGTTACACCGGCAGCAGGCACACTGAGTCGCCGCTGCAGTTACCGGGCTGGTGAACTGCTGCCGCGGCTGGTGCTGCCATTCGTCGCCAACAGGCCACCACCACCAGGGATGCCGGATCGCGGACACCTTACGCACTCCTCCAACACTGAACATCAACACGAAACGTCAAGTTTCACTCTCATATGCCCCCAGCCACTTACATGTTCCTCCTCACTTTCAACCCCAGTAGGAACATGACCCCTCAACACCTCCAAGATACTCACAGGTAGTCGCGAGAAGGGTGAAGTAGACGATGGAGCAGGTATGCAATACCTGCCAAGGTACTGCATATGTCATACACACCTGTACTGCCAACCGTCACAAACATGACTGCCCCCCCCCCCCACACCTACACCGCCACTCTCAAACACTTACATCAAACACAGAATCACTTATCATCATCAATGACCAAAATTTTCCCTCGCAATGGCCAATTTTGCCCGAAATATTGACAAGTGTCAAAGGTCAACACGTCTCCAACAGCCAACCTTACCCACGAAGCTGTATAACAATGCCATCGCCTGATAATACATCCCAGGTAATCGGCCGAATAAATAATACAGTTGACACATACTGTGATACACTTGCCCCCCCCCTAATGATACACCCACTCAGCAGATCTCAGATTGAAGTAATCGTCTCTCTCTCTCTCTCTCTCCTCTCTCTCTCTCTCTCTCTCTCTCTCTCTCTCTCTCTCTCTCTCTCTCTCTCTCTCTCTCGGGTGTTTTCATAAAATAACTATGCCCAAGTCTACCATCAAAGTGCCGTCGGGATGATGGGCAAATAGCCTCTCTCTCTCTCTGGTGCCTGTGTGTTCCAAAGATGCTCTAGTATTACATATTCCAAAGTTGTTCTAGTGTTACGTTGCCATATTATTGTAGTAACGATATGTTCAACTTCGCTCTATAGCCAATAGAGCAGCCTTAGAATACGCACCCACACACCTGCCTCTAGTGTAACATACAAACACTAGAGAGCACACAGCAACTATAAACAGTCACAGAACCGGAACGAAATAATGAACTCAAATTCTCACTTTCCCAATTTACAATAAAACATTATATAAGTAAAAAAAAAGGAATACATTAAACTGAATGAAAAGAGAGAGAGAGAGAGAGAGAGAGAGAGAGAGAGAGAGAGAGAGAGAGAGAGAGAGAGAGAGAGAGCTGCGGCGTCTGGTGAGCCCCTTTAAGAGCTCCCTACGTTACTCGACCTACTGAAGGAGCCAGTTGATCTGAACCTCCTGTTGTGGTGGTAGGTGGTCCTGTTGTGGTGGTTGGTGGTCCTGTTGTGGTGGCTGGTGGTCCTGTTGTGGTGGCTGGTGGTCCTGTTGTGGTGGTTGGTGGTCCTGTTGTGGTGGTAGGTGGTCCTGTTGTGGTGGTTGGTGGTCCTGTTGTGGTGGTTGGTGGTCCTGTTGTGGTGGTTGGTGGTCCTGTTGTGGTGGTTGGTGGTCCTGTTGTGGTGGTTGGTGGTCCTGTTGTGGTGGTAGGTGGTCCTGTTGTGGTGGTTGGTGGTCCTGTTGTGGTGGTTGGTGGTCCTGTTGTGGTGGTTGGTGGTCCTGTTGTGGTGGTTGGTGGTCCTGTTGTGGTGGTTGGTGGTCCTGTTGTGGTCGGTTGGTGGTCCTGTTGTGGTGGTAGGTGGTCCTGTTGTGGTGGTTGGTGGTCCTGTTGTGGTGTTGGTGGTCCTGTTGTGGTGGTTGGTGGTCCTGTTGTGGGGTTGGTGGTCCTGTTGTGGTGGTGGTGGTCCTGTTGTGGTGGTGGTGGTCCTGTTGTGGTGGTTGGTGGTCCTGTTGTGGTGGTAGGTGGTCCTGTTGTGGTGGTTGGTGGTCCTGTTGTGGTGGTTGGTGGTCCTGTTGTGGTGGTGGTGGTCCTGTTGTGGCGGTGGGTGGTCCTGTTGTGGCGGTTGGTGGTCCTGTTGTGGTGGTTGGTGGTCCTGTTGTGGTGGTTGGTGGTCCTGTTGTGGTGGTTGGTGGTCCTGTTGTGGTGGTTGGTGGTCCTGTTGTGGTGGTTGGTGGTCCTGTTGTGGTGGTTGGTGGTCCTGTTGTGGTGGTGGTCCTGTTGTGGTGGTTGGTGGTCCTGTTGTGGTGGTTGGTGGTCCTGTTGTGGTGGTTGGTGGTCCTGTTGTGGTGGTTGTGGTCCTGTTGTGGTGGTGGTGGTCCTGTTGTGGTGGTTGGTGGTCCTGTTGTGGTGGTTGGTGGTCCTGTTGTGGTGGTAGGTGGTCCTGTTGTGGTGGTTGGTGGTCCTGTTGTGGGTGGTTGGTGGGTCCTGTTGTGGTGGTTGGTGGTCCTGTTGTGGCGGTTGGTGGTCCTGTTGTGGCGGGTGGTGGTCCTGTTGTGGTGGTTGGTGGTCCTGTTGTGGTGGTTGGTGGTCCTGTTGTGGTGGTTGGTGGTCCTGTTGTGGTGGTTGGTGGTCCTGTTGTGGTGGTTGGTGGTCCTGTTGTGGTGGTTGGTGGTCCTGTTGTGGTGGTTGGTGGTCCTGTTGTGGTGGTTGGTGGTCCTGTTGTGGTGGTTGGTGGTCCTGTTGTGGTGGTTGGTGGTCCTGTTGTGGCGGCTGCACACACACACACGCACACACACACAAAAACACACACACACACACACATACACACACACACACACGCACAGGGGGCCTCGTAGCCTGGTGGATAGCGCGCAGGATTCGTAATTCTGTGGCGCGGGTTCGATTCCCGCACGAGGCAGAAACAAATGGGCAAAGTTTCTTTCACCCTGAATGCCCCTGTTACCTAGCAGTAAATAGGTACCTGGGAGTTAGTCAGCTGTCACGGGCTGCTTCCTGGGGTGTGTGTGTGAAAAAAAAAAAAAGTAGTTAGTAAACAGTTGATTGACAGTTGAGAGGCGGGCCGAAAGAGCAAAGCTCAACCCCCGTAAAAACACAACTAGTAAACACACACACACACACACACACACACACACACAAACTATTGGAGGTGGTGACAAGCAACTTTTTAACGCAGCATGTCGGAGAACCCACAAGGATGAGAGGCAATGACGAACCAGCGAGACTCGACCTAGTCTTCACTCTGAACGACTCCGACATAAGAGAAATCGGTTTTGAGGACCCAGTAGGAATGAGCGACCACAGTGTACTGGTGTTTGAGTACTTGATTGAAGAAGGGTTATTGAACTCGAGGAGGGATACCGAAACCAAAAGGTTAGCATACCGAAAGGGAAACTATGAGGGGATAAGAAAATTCCTAACAGATATAGCATGGGAAACAGAGCTCAGGGGAAAGCCGGCCCAAGATATGATGGATTACATCACGCAGAAGTGCAAGGACGCAGCAAACAAGTTTGTCCCAGTCCAAAAGGAAAACAGAAGAGAAATGAAGATGAGAAAACCATGGTTTAATCAAAAATGATGTAGGCTAGCTAAGCAGCAAAGTAAAAGGGCATGGAGAAAACTATAGGAATAACAGGACACTGGAGAGCAGAGAAAGATACCAGAATGCCAGGAATGAATATGTCAGGATGAGAAGAGAGGCAGAAAGACAATACGAAAATGACATCGCAAGCAAGGCAAAGACTCAGCCTAAATTGTTGCATAGCCACATTAGGAGAAAAACAACAGTAAAGGAACAGGTTATGAGATTAAGGATAGGGGCGGGCGGATTCACTACAAATGACAAGGAAGTGTGTGAGGAATTGAATAAGAAATTCCAGGAGGTCTTCACCTTAGAACAAGGAGAAATTCCAGAGGTAAGTGAGGGAATAGCTAACCAGGAACCACTGGAAGAGTTTGAGATTACCAGTGGGGAAGTAAGGAAGTGTTTACTAGAGTTGGACGTGACGAAGGCTATAGGCCCAGATGGAATCTCCCCTTGGGTTCTAAAGGAAGGAGCAAGAGAACTGAGCCTACCACTCTCCATAGTGTATAACAAATCACTGGCAACAGGGGAACTGCCAGATATTTGGAAAGCAGCTAACGTAGTCCCGATATACAAGAAAGGGGATAGACAGGAGGCACTGAACTACAGGCCAGTGTCCCTAACCTGCATACCATGCAAGCTGATGGAGAAGATTGTGCGAAAAAACTAGTGGAGCATCTGGAGCGAAGGAACTTTGTAACACAGCATCAACATGGGTTCAGGGATGGCAGGTCCTGCCTCACAGGGTTACTTGAATTCTACGACCAGGCAACAAAAATAAGGCAAGAAAGAGAAGGGTGGGCAGACTGCATATTTTTGGATTGTCAGAAAGCCTTTGATACAGTGCCACACAAGAGGCTAGTGCGAAAGTTGGAGATGCAGGCTGGAGTGAGAGGGAAGGTACTCCGGTGGATAGAGGAATACCTAAGCAACAGGAGGACACACGAGTCTGTGTGAGGGGTGAAGTCTCAGATTGGCGAGACGTCACAAGTGGAGTCCCGCAGGGGTCAGTCCTCGGACCTATACTGTTTCTGGTATATGTAAATGATCTCCCAGAGGGTATAGATTCGTTCCTCTCAATGTTTGCCGACGATGCAAAAATTATGAGGAGGATTGAAACAGAGGATGATAGTAGGAGGCTACAAGATGACCTGGATAGACTGAGTGAATGGTCCAAACACAATGGCTGTTGAAGTTCAACCCGAGTAAATGCAAAGTAATGAAACTAGGCAGTGGAAACAGGAGGCCAGACACAGGATACAGAATAGGAGATGAAGTACTTAATGAAACAGACAGAGAGAAAGATCTAGGAGTTGATATCACACCAAACCTGTCTCCTGAAGCTCACATAAAGAGAATAACGTCTGCGGCATATGCGAGGCTGGCTAACATCAGAACGCCGCTCAGGAACCTGTGGAAGGAATCATTCAGAATCTTGTACACCACATATGTAAGACCAATCCTGGAGTATGCGGCCCCAGCATGGAGCCCCATACCTTGTCAACCACAAGACGAAGCTGGAAAAAATCCAAAGGTATGCTACTAGATTAGTCCTAGAACTAAGAGGCATGAGTTATGAGGAAAGGCTGCGGGAAATGCACCTTACGACACTGGAAGACAGA